AAAAAGCCCTCTAGGTATAAAATGTGGTAATTACCAGTACCAATTTGCATGCCAACTCCGAGAACTGACTTTCCAGAGCAACTTCAACTTTCTTTATTTTTTGAAAATTTTTTGAAAATTTTCAAAAAATAAAGAAAGTTGAAGTTGCTCTGGAAAGTCTCGGAGTTGGCATGCAAATTGGTACTGGTAATTACCACATTTTATACCTAGAGGCTTTTTTTGAAAACGTCGTGTAGGGAGGGATATTGTGAGATTTATGGGTGGAAGTATACTTTTGAGACGCAGTGTATAAAATTTCGTGCTTGGTTGAAAGTGATGGTGGAATTATTCGCTACTAGTGAGGGAAACGATAACGCTCTCAAACAATTGAGTAACTAGGCCCTCTTTCCATTACCTTTTGGAGGAATTATAGGTCTGGCCTCGGGACTGCTACCGTAGTTTATGATACCAGGGCGTATTTCTACCCTATTCTGAGCAATTTGTTGAAGGAGAGACTGGGGTTGACGCGAAGCTTGACAATATGGGATTGACAAAGGAGGGAACCCTAGGACCAAGCGTGCAAACTGGGTAGCCATGAGTCATAATATATGATATCAGACACCGGTATTTAATCTTTTTCCCATATTAGCCAAACGGGCCTGTTAAAAATGAGCTTGAGCCCTACAACTACAATACCGTCCTTAATTTGTGGAAAAACGGCGACAAAGAAGATAGATCAAAAATCAAAGATCAAAAATAGAAATCATAGAAGATCAAAAATAGAAGAAATGCGATTTTTATATCAGACCAAGCCGAGCACCGATGTTTAGGGCCAGATTGCTGAAGAATCACTCACCTATAACGGAAATCACAACGAACTTCCTATGTATCTGTGAACCGAAAACACGATCTTGCAAAGCCTTCGTCTCCGATTTCCTATTTCGAAAAATACACGTTCCAAGTTGGGAAAAATCGTGAAATTAGTCTAGTTGACTATGCTCTGAAAAACTGGGTCGAAATGGTCGTCAGATGGTTCGCGAAAATGGGTGATGAATTGAGAGGGCGAAGGAGTGAGATTCACTGTTCCTGTCCTCAGAGGCCAAAAATGGGAATCTGACCTGTTTTCAGGGAGAAGCTGATGACCTTGACGGGTCATGCACCGTTAGACTCGACACGCAGAGAAAAATCTCAATATATCTGTGCCCCAGATCACCTTTTTTGGAAGGAGTTGTGGCAGTGCGGCGCTTTGGGAGAATGGGGGGGGGGGGTGCGGCGGGTTAATCCGCCTTATTTCCACGAATTAGGAGCGGGCACATTATTGTAGGGCACATTATCGATGAGATCCCCGATGGGGGAACGTCTTCCCTCAGAGAATTGGGGATGACAGACCAGGTTTCCCGCTTACTGAAATTAGACTTTTCAAGCCCCATCTTCCGAGTTCAATTCAGCTTGACTCCTTCATGGTACTTTGTATTTGCTTCCTAGCACCTTTGAGATAGCTCACTCTTTCGTCCCGGGCTCTGCTTCTCGTGGGCTACTCTTGTCATCATGACCGTTCTCCAAGGTACAACAACACCATATATCAACCGAATCGAGGGGGCGTGTAAGCATGACGCGGATTCTGGAGCAGCGGAAGTTTTTTTTCCTCAATGATTGCTCGCCTCATCTGGCAACGACTGATAAAATACGAGCTAGTGCTGCACTAAAACCTTGTCACGCCACCGACATGCCCCTCTATTCGGCTGTTGAGTACTGTACCATAGACACCATCATCGGCATTAGCGATATCCAATGATCCAGCCAAGCTCGCAACAGTATGACACGAAGATTGCTAAACATTTTAGAAACGTAAACACATCTTGGAAGTGGCTTTGTAAGCATGTAGAACAGATTCAAAATCGAAGTGTGTAGAAGAATACTTCGAACCACAAACGTTGCCCCCAGAGCATCTACAGCCTTGTCCGCTGCAGATGAAGGGGCGCATCAGGCGGGATGGATTTGGCGCGGCGCCAAACCCGTCCTCGACCTGTTGAAGCGGGTGCGCGACAACAGCGGCTGGACCATGACAATACGAGCTATATGAAAGTGTAATTGCTTGCTCGCTTCAAGTGGTGAGAAACGGCTTCCGCACCGCGCCAAACCCACATAACTTGACACCCCGTTCATCCGCCGCGAATTAGGCTGTATGATTATGATTTATTATCGGTTAGTAAATCAAACCCAACGCAACAGTTATATTTCAAATGACCGATATACGGTACGATAGGATTGAAAATATATAAAAAGCGGTGAAAAGGGAAGGAGCGGGGAGCGGGTAGAACAGTTGCTGGTGAAGAGCAGTATGTGGGGGTACTGTATATGGAGGTACTAGAGGTTTGCTCCAATACGAATGTGTTTCAGACTGTGCTTGTGCTGGTGATTAACGCCCACCCACACTTGTTCTCCATCACGCATGGTGATTGGTTTGACGCCTTCCGCTTATTCGGCAGCGACCAATCCCAGTATGGTCGGTGATATCGCAGTATTCGTTCCTATCCTCTGCTGCCCCAGAGGAATGTTCAGTAATTCATGAAATTGATGTCTCTTTTTAGTATGCATTTGCACTTTTTCCTTTTGTTCTCTATTCTCTATAGGAGCACTGTCACGGTACACTGTCGCATTTGAAGCACTTGATCCAACTGTGATAAAAACGAGTAGCATTGGACACTTCCCTTCATCCACTGCCTAAATCTCGATTCGATTGTATTACACAAAACACTTTTACCAGTACTTTATCTCGATATAAATCTACTGCCACTACTGTATGCTCTTGACCTTTTGAAGAAGGATGTCAGTATTGTTCCACTTCGTACTCTTCTCGTTTCACCTTCAACTTCATCAACATTGCTTTCGCTAGCGCTCGTGACTGAAACCAATACTCACTGAAGGTATATTGTACATAACATTATAATAATATATACAGATTAAACGTATCACGTGTTCTCCTCCTACGTTGTACGACGAGCAACTTTTACATGAACAAAGAGTAGCGAAAAAAAAACATGGAACATTCTGCTATCTATTTAGTTTCTGGGTTTTTTTTTCAACTAATTTTTCACGATTGCTGAAGGCGGGCGGCTGTTGTCACCATCAGTGCTGGGAAGGAGTTGGCCACAGAAAGCATTGGGCAATTGGCTGAACACCGTCCTTCAGCTCTTCCACCAATGAGGCTCGCACGCCTACGTGCCGTGTCGTGCCCACATGCCTTCAGACCACCAAGAATGGCAATCTCTTAGCTTGTTCCCTGTTTTTTTCCTCGCTACTCGACGCTGCGGAGCCCCATGCTGTATCATCAAAACGCGCAACCAGCTCCATTCTCCGATATATTTTTGAAACGCGATTGGCACGATGATTTGGTGCTGGGCCTAAAATGCTATTAGGGGCTATATAGCGGGGAAATGGCGAAAGAACTGTGTGAAACGGTGAAAATCCAGTGAAGAAAGAGCCTCCGTCCTCACTTTCCAGCGTTAGAAGTCAATCCTTGACGATTTCCGCAAGTTATGCTTGCCCAGATAACCGCTACGCGGAAGGTAAGCGGCTAGCATATGTGTAGCTTCAAATGACTATTCCTTAAGGCCCCAAGAAAATTCCCCATCACCCACGGCCGCGCGTTCATAGCCAATCTTCGTAGGAACCATTTGATCATGCAGGAACCATTCGTTCCTATTTTGCTGGGCGGGGCGTTTGGACGGTGATAGGTGTGGGCTTGATAGGACCCTTATAAGGCACCTTCTTCCAAAAAGGCATCATGCAGGGCGTGCTCGGGGTCGCAGTATTCGCGCATTAGTCCTATTCGTCTTGGAGGATTTATCATGCCAGCTGTCTTTAATTCAGCCACCCGGCGATTTCGTGACAATAATCCGATGAAAAAAACTATTCGACTGACCCTTCAAGCACTGAAAATTCGGGCTCAGTGACAAAATAGTGATGGCTATAACTTTTTTGTCTGTAAACAGTATGCATACACATTCATTTTTCATTGGGGAATGCTGTGACTTTAGCAGGTGAAATAGCTTATGCAGTGAACTGCCAGCGCTATCCGATGTGAAAAGTAGGTTTTTTAAGCCTCTATTTACGAGCCTGAAACTAAGAAACAGGCACTGGACGCTTGCTCGCTCCGGGGAAGGGGGGAGGGGGCGCTCAAATGGGATTCAGACTCGAGATTGTGCGCGTCCCTTCTTGCCACTACACAACACCAGCTTAGTGACGGATATCAGTTAGGTGCATCTTGAGGGAGCCAAGGGACAGGTAAACTTCTCCAAGCATCGCATCAAGTTCACGCAGGTACACATGCTCAGCGTGACTACTCTTCGGAATGAAATGGTTTTTATTCATAATAAAGGAGACCAAAGTACTCCAAAACTCGAAGAATAAAGCAAGGTATTCAATCGACTATTGGAATTCTCGAGTCGAGACCAAGGCAAGGCACATCATCGTTGCGGATTCCACAACAAGAGTGAGAGGGGTCGTATTTGATCGCTGGGGAATGGGGGGGGGCATATTCAGTATGAGAATATTTTTTTTTTGATAGTCGATTTCTCTTGTTTCGCGGACGCTACAAGCTGGGTTGTATTTGCTCAAAATTTCTCCCGGTTTTGACTTTTCGCGATTTTTCCGCTTCAGGTGGGCTATTTACTCCTCCCCCGCGTCACCCGCCCACTTTTCGACAGCGCGATCATAGTGCGTATCAGAGGAGGAAACAAGAGGGGGAGGGTCGACGGACTCGACCTGATCCCCAACCAATAATGTGCCCTGGTCTGGACCGTGAAATCAAGTGTGTACGACGTGCACCACCGGTACAATACTGATTTGAGGGAACGGCAACGAGGCAAGGATGAACCCACTCAGCCACTTCAGAAAACACAGCGATTGCTGACAAACGGCGAAGCAGCACTGGGATCAGGACACATCGCTACAGAAAATTCTCGCAAAATTGGTTTCTCTCCCTCAACGGAAGATCCCCAATTAGCGTGGAGCGGAAAAAATCAACTATCAGAAAAAATCCCTCAGGCGGACACGACACCCCCTCCCCAGCAACCAGATACGACCCCCACACCCCGCTCGGGGTTCCAGAGTGAAACGTGCCCTGCCTGCGATACTTACCGCTTCGCAACTACTACCGAGATCTTTGCCCCTTCTATGGGACTCAAGATTCGTCAAATGTGGAGCATGCTAAACCTAGGTACTGATTTAAATGCAAATCAAAGATTAAAGAAGCAAAACCAAAAAGTAAAGAGTGAAGTATAAAGCCTAATAAGTTCCATCCCAGTAAGCATACCTTGAGTTCGTGCTCGTTATGCGCGTGGAGTTTATATGAAGCGATGAAACACTTTCTTGCTTCTTCCTTGTTGCCAGACGAGTGATGAGCCATGCCCATGTAGTACAGGTTACTTGTTGAGAAATTGCTCTGAATAATGATGGTCTTCATGATTCACTAAGAATGATTTTTCTGCAGATTGAACCCCTGTGCTGAAGACCTGCACATACTCCTAACAATTAATAAAAAATATCTCCCGCAGGACTGTGGAGGGAAAAGACCTAAAATTTCCCGATCTGCATTCTAACCAGAACCCTTTCCACTATGAAGCAATATAGCAAAGAAAAGAATTTTTCACTTAACACAGCCTTTCATAACAGAACAGATTTCGTCGGAAAAAAAAGAATGGAGACATTGTGCTTTTTTGAAAGATCTTTTTTGAAAACAAGCGACCAAAATATTCGTGAGGGGCCAATTTTCACAATAAGAGTGCCACTCAGCTGTGTGAGTTGATGGAGTTGTTCACTCTTCCTCACCCAAATAATATAACCCAGTTCAAAAACACCAGTCGGATCGCCCAGCTGTCGCCGGGCGCTCCTCCTTCTGTGACATGGCCCGCTTCGCCGGGCCATGCGGATTTGCCGCGTGCTAAGTTACGGATCGTTGACCAACCACACTGTTCAGAGGAATCTTCTGCATCAGCAAAGCAGCGCTCGTTCCGTCAAGATGCAGAAGCAACAGCAGCGCCCGTCGCATCACAGAAGGGGGAGAGCCGGCCTTAGCCAGCGATCCGACTACGTTCATAACCTACACGGGAATATTGCAGCCTGTTAGGATAGCCGCTGAAGCAGCCTATAATTCATGCATTCTGTCCTCTTAAAGCGTCTTGCTTTGGAATGCACTCCCGCATTCAGCAGAACCCTTTAAATGGCCCTCACTAAGGTTGTTGATGGAAGATAATT